TTTTTTGTTTTAGTATTTTGAAGTTGACCAATTGTTACTATAAGCAATTAATGATTATAGATGATCTGCACCGTATATATTATTTTGCTGTTCCAACTTGATTGAAAATAAATACTTTTTCAAAAATTTTTTAGAAGTTCTGTATAATAGGTTTATTTGGTTTACATTAGAAAAAATGTAAACAAACACCTGGTTTCGATAGACAAATCAATCATGAATCTTGACGATTAACTGTACAGTAAACGTTAATAATAATCAATCTACCATGTGTTTGATACACAAAGTCAAATTGTTAACAAGAATGATTGATTACTCTTGTTCTTGCTTGGATTTTTTCTATCGAAATAAATAAGCGTAAACTAATTAGCGATAAAAAAGTATTTAAGAATAAATGATAGGGAGAGAAGGATATAGTTGCTTCATCTACTAATAAGAATTTTATCAGCCCAATCAATCGTATGGAGAAAACAATAGAAGGAGTGGGTTAATAGGGATGAAAGTTAGCATTAAGGTGTTAATCGATTGTGTGTCTACAATCAATTAAAGTGATCGGTAAAATTTTATTAATATATAGTGATTAGTATTAGTATTGCGAATAGAAACCCTGGTGTATTCGTGATCATCATTCTTCCTGTTGTTTTTGGATGTTCTTCACTAATACTAATGTGAGGTTGAGATAATTCATTACATATTTTATTTTTTCAAAACAAATCATCACTCATCCATATTAATCCTTCCCATCTAATCCTATATTTCAACAAATGCTAATGATGATGAATACAAGTAAACAACAATTGAATAGCTAGTATTTGGGAATTTTAGAATATTGTCAAATAAAAACTTGATTAAATTAAAACAACTAAAAAAACATATATATATATATATACACAAAATGGATAATATTAAAATATTAACTATTGAGAAAAAAGAATTGTAAATGATTTAAATATCATGGAAATCTTTTCCAAAACGTGTAGCTTTTACATATCCAACACGAATAACAAAATCACCAAATTTTTCATCATCGTATTTTTCTTTAGCATATCTTGTTAACATTGGTTTTAATTCTTTTAATATTTCATCTTCTTTTAAACTTTCTTTATATATTTTGTTTAATCTCTGTCCATAAAATCCTCCTCCTAAATAAAGATTATATGTACCAGGGGCCTTACCAACACATGCAATTTCTGCAACGTATGGTCTAGCACATCCATTAGGACATCCAGTCATTCTTATAACTATGGCATTATGTTTTAATCCAACATCCTCAATAATGCTCTCCACTTTTGTTACTAATGTTGGTAGATATCTTTCTGCTTCTGCCATGGCTAAACCGCATGTTGGTAATGCTACACATGACATTGAGTTTAATCTTAGACCTGTGTATTGCAGATTATCTAATCCATATTTCTTTAAAAGTTCTTCAATTTTTGGCTTATTTTTTTCATCCACATTACCAATAATAAGATGTTGATTAGGTGTCAATCGCATATCGCCATCATGAACTTTGGCTATTTCGCGTAACCCAGTTTTAATAGGTGCACCTGGTTCATCTTTAACACGTCCATTTTCTATATACATACAAAAATGCCACTTATCATCAATTCCTTTAGTCCAGCCATAACGATCTGCATTATTTTCAAATTTATACTCTTTTGCCTTCTCCAATTTATATCCTAAACGGGATTCTAATTCTAAACAAAACCATTCAACGCTTCTATCATCTATCGTATACTTGAGACGTGCATGTTTTCTATTTGTACGATCACCAAAATCACGCTGTATCAGCATGATTTTTTCACCAACATCAATGGCTTGTTCAGGTCTACAAAATCCAATAACATCACCAAGTCTTGGATAAGTTTTCTTATTGTTATGTGTTGCTCCCATACCACCACCGACTGTAACATTATAGCCTAATAATTTTTTGTTAGCTTTATCTGCTATAGCTATGAATCCTAAATCGTGAGCAAAAACATCTACATCGTTATTAGGCGGAATTGCAATTGCAATCTTAAATTTACGTGGAAGATATGTAGGACCATACAATGGTTCGTGATCTTGTACAGCCTGACCTGCAACCATCTTATCGTCCAACCAAATTTCATGATAAGCTCTTGTACGGCTGGTCAAGGTGAATTCCCACAGAACGCACGTGAATTTTGGAAACACATTTCCACCACTACAGAGATTTCTTTAGTTGAAACAAAATATGCAGTATTCGGTCTTGGTGATAGTAAATATTGGCCCAGAGCTGAAGACATCATCTACTACAACAAACCAGGTAAAGAGTTAGATTCACGCTTGGAACTTTTAGGCGGGCAAAGATTATTACCTCTTGGATTGGGTGATGATCAAGATTCTGATGGTTATGAAACAGGGTTTCAAGCTTGGGAACCTTTACTTTGGGATGCGCTTAATGTTAAATTGCTTGGCACTGTTGTTGAAGAGCCTAAAAAAACAGACGATGATATGAAAATTCAATCCAATTATTTGAGAGGATCTATTAAAGAAGGGCTTGAAGATACTTCAACAGGAGCATTAGCAGAAGGTGACACCAAGTTGACCAAATTTCATGGGATTTATCAACAAGATGATCGTGATTTGAGAGATGAAAGAAAAGCACAGGGATTAGAAAAGGCTTATTCGTTCATGATTCGTGTCAGAGTACCTGGAGGGGTATCAACCACTAAGCAATGGCTGGCTTTGGATGAAATATCTGAAAAATGGCCAACTGGCTCTTTGAAACTTACAACACGTCAAGCCTATCAGTTACACGGTGTTCTAAAAAGCAATTTGAAGTCA